GTGAAGACTTGGGAGTAGTTACAAGTTTGGGGAACTGTTCTCTTCATGGAGTTACTTTGGGAAGTGTTGTTGATTTTAATTGACTGTCCAGGCCATGGGAGGGTTTTAAGTATTTATCCTCCCGTGAAGCAGCTCAAGCTCAGGCTCCTGAGGAAGCCTTCCGGGATCTTTTCCTAACTCTGGCTCAGCGCGATTCCCCAGGCTGGGTAACTTTACCTGGTCTGTCTTGTCCGTGATGGTGAGGAGTGGAGGTCCAAGACCTTGGTGATGTTGGTGATGGCATTAGCTTGTGCTTGGCTTCTCATGAGACCCTCGGGCTGCTTTAAGCTATGACAAGAAGTTGAAGAGCAAACGAGAAGAAGAGAGTGTGAGGGACAGTTTTGCTTTCTGACAGCCACGCTCAGATAACTAATCCAGGCCTGTGATGGTGAGGACTCAGTGGACTCTGCCACCCCCTGGCTCCAGGTCCATAACCAGGCTGCAGAAGGACGGATAGTCAGGGGGGAAGAAATGAAGTTGGAAAAGCAACATTTTGATTATACTGACTCCCTCGGTCACAAGGGAACTGCAGCCCCTGGAGTACAGAACCGTTAGAAATATTTGGAGACTAAGAATGGAGAGATGGCAGTGGATGTGGGAGTCTTTGTACGGGGGGAGTGCTCTTGAGCCCACTTCTCCTGTGGGCTGTGTCAAAAAGGCTGGTGTATTTTCCGTGTCCTAGAATAAGTTGTAGTGAATTGGTAACACTCTTGATTTTTAAGTGAGGAATAACCTTTGGACTCAGAAAAACAATTATATCCCTTGAATCCAATTATTAATAAGCCACTGTAGAAAACTTCCTCTCGTGACATTCTTGCCAGTTCTTTGAATTTCTAGCATATGTTTCCATTTCTGTAGCGAACACATTCGGAAACACTACATTATTTCCTATGTGAGTTGATATTTCCCATGAAATCTGTCTTGACTTGATTTTAAATTGCGGAACTGGTTCCTAGCCAGCTGTATATGAAATGGGGAGTTAAAAATCTGTTCCTAGAAACTGCTCTTGGAGCTGGCTAAGTTCAGGAGGTTGGAGGAGGGTCCTATTTGGGCATTATATAAATAATGAGGATTCTGATAGGCCATGAGATTAAAGACCACTGGGGCATTTCCCTGATTTCTAGGGCTTTTATTTTTCTTCCTTTTTCCCCACTGGAGAAGCCGAGTGAATGTAATTAGATTAGGAAAGGTTTGTCTGTAAGTATAAGCAAACCAAATTGCTCTGACTGCCGAGAGACCCCAAGCCAGTGATTTGGAGTGTGCTGTATAATTGACAGATACCTGGATGTTCTTTTAATTTGGGTTTTAGTCCAAGGGTTGAAACATAATTTTCCAACCCCTTGCAGGCCAGTGTAATTATGGTTGTATATACTGTGGGCCTCAGGTAATTATTCCACTGTTGAACCGTATTTTGACCAAATTACCAGCTATGATCAATAAAAACTTAAGTGTGTGTGAGTTGAAACCAAGAAATAAAAATTCAGATCACTGTTTAGCCAGAACTAATTATTTTAAATCTGAAAAAAGATCACAATTACTGCAAATATAGATGTCCTATTTGGGCACTGGGCATGATTATTTAGTATGTGAAAAGAGTTACTTACTTAGTCGTTGTTACTCTTTTGTTTTACTTCTAGCAAAAGAGAGAAAATATTTCATGTCTAATCACACTTTTCAACAAAAAATAAGCGGTAGTTGTACTCCTCTCTCATAATTCTAGTAGGATTTGCACTGTTTCTGTCTCTTTCAAGAGGATTCTAAATATGAAAATATAAACGTATAGAAAATATGTTTCCTCATGGTGATACATAGAGTGTTGAAATAATAGAAATATGAATGTTAACAATGCAGTGTGACCACTTTTGGGGGGAGGCTCTTTAAAAATCTGAAATACGTGGCTGATTGCCCGTTTCAAATTACAGTATGAACATTAGGAGAAATCACACCAAAAGACAAAATCATCCATACGCAGCCTCCTAACAAGTCATATACACTTTGACTTGTTCCATTACAGTTCTTTTCCCTCCATTATTTTTCCGTAAACATGTGGGAGAGACATTGTCTTCTGCTCCTATTGTCACTTGACCTTAGGTGCCTTGTCTTGGTGATGCCACATAATCTTTTCTGATTATCTTCAGATGTCTGTGTCGTATTACATTGGGTCCTTGTGCCATTATGTCCTTGGATTTTCCAACATTTTTTTAATGTTTACTTTGTTGGAGAATACAAAATAGAGCTTCATTGTTGATAAAATTTGAGCTTCAGCTGGGCATGGTGGCGCGCGCCTGCAATCCCAGCACTCAGGGAGGCTGAGGCAGGAGGATCGCTGTGAGTTCGAGACGAGCCTGGGCTACATAGTGAGTTCCAGGTCAGTCTCAACTACATAGTGAGACCCTGTCTGAAAAACAAAACCAAAACTGCAAAAGCAAAAAAATGAGCTTCAAGTGAAAGAGAGTGTATGTGTTGACTTTGGGTCTGTTATATAAGTCATTTTATTATATTGGCCACTTTAAAAAAGAGAATTTCCTTGTGGAATTGAATTTTTCAGACATACTTGCACCTGTCTGTGGGTAGAATGACTTCACCCCAGACTTGCTGGGTTTCTGCCTGCCGTTGCATCTTAAGAGATTTCAGTCTGTGACCAGGAAACCAAGGACCGAGAAAAAGAATGAGCTGTGTAGATGGACTCAGAAAAAATGGTTCCCTCTGTCTGCCTCGTAATCTCTTATTAACAATAAACCATATATTAGCTCAAGGAAATCCAATAGTGTTCCATGTTTTGCCAAGCTACTTTAATTTTGCTTTGTTTTGAAATAACCGAATTATTTCAACATTGATTTCAGATACCTTTCATGGGTGGGAGCCAGCCTGCCTGATTGTACCCTGCTTGATTGTATTTATCCTCTTCCAGTAATTCGGCCACTGCTGACAGTTAACAAGGCGAGCGTTTGCTCTGCACCCCAAAATCCTTGATCACCAAGAGCAAACAAATATGAGCTAGTAATAACCTGGTTTTTTCATCCTGAATGCCTATAATGTGGGTTCCTTTAATCTGATTAATTCTGTCCCGGCAACACAAAGTCCACCAATGGAAAGATGAGAAATCTGGGCCGGGTGTGGTGGCACACGCCTGTAATCCCATCACTCGGGAGGCTGAGGCAGGAGGATCCCTGTGATTTCGAGACCAGCCTGGGCTACATAGTGAGTTCCAGGTCAATCTCAACTACATAGTGAGACCCTGTTTCAAAAAACCAAAAAAAAAAAAAAAAAAAAAAGAGAGAGAGAAGAGACATCTGGCAGAGTTGAGCATGTTGGGGACTGAGGTCAGTGGTCAGTTCAGGGGGATTTTGAGGGAAGGGACGGGAATTTTTGAGAGCAGGCTGTTAACAAAGGGCTGTCCCCGAACAGTTAGGGTGCTGAGCGGAAGGTAGTCTTTGTTGCTCAGGATGTGATTAATAGCACCTCATCCTTCAATTTAGAACTTCTAAAATAGGAAGCTTGCATCAGTTCAGGGCACATAGTTGGAAGCCACAGAGTGCTTACTTTATCTTTTTTTATTCACAAAAATAACATGTCCTCACAAAAAGTTTGGAAAATAGCAAACTGAAACAAGCTCTCATGATCATACTACCTTGACTAAAATGTCTGCTAATATTGTGTAATACTCCAGGTTTCTTTGATGCTGTTTGTTTTGTTTTCTCTTTGAGTGCGTTACATTTCTTTTTCTTTGCAATTCTGGGAATCAAACCCCGGGCCTTCTACTTGTTAAACAAGTGCTCTGCCACCGAGCTGCACACCCAGCCTCATTTTAATCTTTAAGACAGGGCCTTGCTAAGTTGCTGAGTTTCTGGACCTGAACTCATGATCCTCTTGCCTCATCCTCTCAGAGTGCTGAAATTACAGACAGACACCACCACACCTCCTCCCCCTTGTTTTGAACAGTGCTGGGGATTAAACCCAGGACCTTACACATGCTAGGCAAGTGTTTTATCACTGAGCCACACTCCCAGCCCTTCCACCTTTTAAAAAATACTCTAGTAAACATGTTTTATGTAGCATTGGAATCAGATATTTTGCTTAGCATTACTTCATATCCTTTTCCCCTCTGTGCTTACCATCTGGATGTCAGTTTTGATTTCTGCATAATTTTATCCTTCTGATATTCCGTAATTGTCTTTATCATGTCCCCTATATTGGGCCATCAGAATGCTTCATTGTCTATTCTGTGCCCACTAGTAATTATCAAGAGTGGTCTGCGCCATGCTACTTTTGCTCACACAAGTTTTTTTGTTTTTGTTTTGTACCGGGATCGAACTTGGGACTTGTACTTGTGGGGCAGGCGGTGGAACCACTGAGCTAAATCCCCAGCCCTCACACAAGTTTTTGAAGTGACTTCATACTGCTGAGTTTTGCTTTTCTCTACCAGTATTGTGCATTTTTCCCCAAGTTCCTTTTTTCCTGTTTTGTGTTTATTTGAAGGGATTGGTGAATGAGCTGATTGTTATCCATCTTGTTTTAGATACTTTCTTTATTTCTGGGACATAATACCTGACACCCACAAGTTAAAGAAGGAGAGGTTTATTTTAGCTCACAGTTTATAGAAGTTTCAGTCCATAGTAATTGGCTCCAAGACAGGGCAGCATGGCAGAGAGGGAACAGTCCATGGCATGGTAGGCCAGAGGCAGGAAGCAGTGAGCCTCCCTTTCCCTTTTTTCAGGCTGCAAGCCTATTGGTTGGTGCCACCTGTGCCTAGGGTGGGCCTTCCCATGTTCACATCCAGAATTGCACTAAATAAATCGGTGCACAAATCCAGTTATAACACCCTTTACCCAATATCACACACCGTAGATCCAACCACCTCCTAAAAGTCCCACCTATGGGTGTATAAGTCTTTGTGGGAACGTCTAGACATAAACCATAACACACTTCAAGGGTGAGCGTGTTTGTCTGTCTGTCCTCAGTGGTGAAAGTGGTGCTGGAAAGACAGTTGCTGCGAAGTACATCATGAGCTACGTCTCTCGGGTGTCAGGAGGAGGTCCCAAAGTCCAGGTAAGCCGCCATTGACTTTATCTGGTGTGAGAGAAGTTCTGTTTGCTGTCTGTCTGCCTGCTTGTCTACCCATCTATTTATTTATTTTCCACTTGCTATTTATAAATGAATTTTTCTTCCACAGAAAAGTTCTATAACCAAGAAACATGAAATTTGCAAACAAATAGCCTATTTTGAGATAGACCTGCTTAATGTGTAATAAGCTCCATAAATCAATAAAAACAGCCCCAAAGGAAAATAAACAAGACTCATCACACATTGAAAATATTTTATCATCCTGATTATCAGAGAAATGCAAACTAAAACTAGGATTCTTTTTTACCTGTTATCTTAATAAAACCCTGGTAGTATTTTAAACACTGTTGATTAGGACAGAAAGATACAGTCATTCTCACATATTGGTGGTAGGATCGTGAACCATACACTTTTATGAAGGACACTCCTGCAAAATTATCAAATTTATACACATGTGCCATTGGGCTCAACAGTTCTACTAAGATAATTTTATTGATCAACTGACTGGAGACAGAGTCTTGCTAAGTTCTCTCGGTAGGCTGGCCTCAAATTTACATCCTCCTGCCTCAGCCTCTCAAGTATCTGGGATTATAGTCATCTGCCACTCCACTCACTTTTTAATTTATCCTTCAGATATGCTGAAATGTATGTAAAATTCAACATTTATGAAGTTACTTGTGGCATTCTTTTGGTAATGGAAAAGATTAAACAAATGCTCACCTGTAGGTAGTGAAATAGTTTATTGTCCATCATAAGATGGAATATTATACAGCCCTGTAAAGAGGCTTCCTGTACTGATGTGGAACGGTCTCAAGATTCATTATTCATTACAGAAAGCAAGGTTTGAACACTGCATAGAATATGATGTCATTAGAGCGGGAAAGAGGAGAGCCTATGTTTGTATTTGTATAGCTGTCTGTCGCACATCCCTTGTGACCGCGTTATCTCGGGATGGGAAGGGGGCTTCTCTGTCACCTTGCAGATACTTAGGTTTTGGATTACACAAATAAATTGTCACTGGAAGAAATTCATAAAAACATTGAAAGAGTGGGAAAGAGAGGGCAAAGAGGAAGGAAGGGAAGATTGGCAGTTGAGAGAAAACGCAAGAAAAAGGAGAAGGCCCAGAGAGTGAGGATTCTCGAGAGGTGAGAAGATGAGAGGAAGTCACGACGGGCGGAGAAGCCGCGGCGTGAGGAAGTGTCACTGCCAGCCTGGATCCTCTTGTCCGGTCTTACTTGGCTGCGGCACTTTGGCAGCAGAATCGGCACTGGCAGAAAAGAATCGGGGCTCGGGTGTGAGGGGCCTGGGCAGATGCATGGTGCTCATTACGGCGCACAGCCTGGTGATGTATTTTCAGCTGCAGTTTGTGTTCCATGGCAGAATCACGCTAAGAATTAATGTTTAAAAAGTGGAATCATTTAGTAAGAAATGTGATTATCATGGTCAGCTGGAGACTTTTAAGACACACCTTAAAATGCTCTTTGTTTTGGCTGTCTGCTAATTAAATAGTGCTATATCGCGGCTGGGTGGATGAGAAGGCTTCAGTAGCGGAGGGAAAAGCTGGGTACAGCGGTGGATGTTTGTCATCCCGGCAGTGTAGGAGGCTGAGGCAAGAGGATCTCAAGTTTGAGACCACCGTGAGCAACTTTGCAACTTAATAAGCCCCTGTCTCAAAATGTAAAATCTTTAAAAGAAATCTATTTGATGTAGCTCAGTGTGAAGGCCCTGAGTTCAATCCTTGGCACTGCCAATAATAATAGTAATAATAATTAATAAAAATAATAATACGATAAAAAGGAGGAAGGGGGAAGAGATATATAAGAACTTCTGAGAGACACTGAGTATTCACTGGTGTGGGCACTGGTGTGGTTCTAGCCAGCAAATAAAAGGTAAAAAGGCTTAGTGAGCATCCCAGAACTCCAAGCTCATTTGACAAAGAGCTAAGTTTATGTAGAGCAGCAGGTTCACAAAGGAGAGTGAGTAGCAGCTCGGGAGCCGGCAGGACCACCCAGCTGGAGGTGTGGTGACCGGCATGTGGGCTGCTCCTCCGTCCATCAGTGGTTAGTGCCATTGTGCAGCCTGGTTTGCCATCCTGTGAGCCAGTGGCCCAACTGCAGACAGTTAATGTTGATTTTTCTCTTCCTGTTTTCCTTTGAGGACAGTGATCCAGAGCTCTTAGCATCGCATGGGTCAGTAGCTCACACCAGAAGACTTATTTCTGGAGCCTTATTACCCAAGCACGGGCGTAATAACAAGCACAGGGTGACTCATTGCTGAATGACCTCTCCAGCTTCAGGTCCTGGCTGTCTCTGGCCCAGAGTCTGCTTTGCACACTTTTAAGGCGGGCATAGAATAATGGTGTCTGAAAAACCAAATGCTTCCCCTGTAGTGTCTTGGTGTTCCTGGTGTCGACCGCGCTAGGAAAACCAGCACCACCAGGAAACTGGTCAGAAATACAGATTCTTGTACCCCTCTCCAGACCCTAAATCCACATCTACATTTTACCAAGATCCCAGGTGATTTGAGCACATTAAAGTTTGAGTTGCACCCAATTATATTTCCACAGCCTTGCTTGGGGTAGAGAAACAGACTGATTTCTCACACAGTAACTCTTGCTTATGGTGCAGTGGCTAGAATAGTTGGGACTTTTAGTGACAGTGGGCACTGTTTTTAGAACAGCAGGAGCAGCCCTTGGTGCCTCCCCCTTGTTATGGCTGTGTCTAGATGTCCCCTCAAAGCCTCATGCAGTCATAGGTGGGGCTTTTTCAGAGGTGGCTGAATCTAGGGTGTGTGACTGATTCATGGTGCAAGGCTAGGATTAAGGGTAATTACGAAATCAGTCCACTGATTGGTTTGGCACCGCCCTCATCCTGGTAGCCTGGATATGACAGAAGGGACAGAAAGCGGTTTGTCTTGTCTCTTACTTGCTGTGCTGCCTTCTGCCCGTCATGAACTGTTTCTCCTCTGTGACGTCCTGCCGTGGAGCCGGCCGATTATCGACTAAAACCTGTAAAAGCTGTGAGCCAAATAGACCTTTACCCCTTTGAGTGTTGGATATTTTATCTCAGCAATGAGAGAAAAGTAACTAAGACACTCTTTCCCCTGCTCTGACTCCCAAGAATCCAGAAGAGCAGGATGGAGCTGCACCACCACTGCGCAAACACAGGCTGGGCACTTTTGTTTGGTTTTGTACCAGGGAATCAAACCTAGGATGTTCACACTGAACTAAAATCCCCAGCCCCTTTTTTGTTTAATTGCAAGACAGCATTTCATTAAATCCCTACGGAGCCCAGACTGGGCTCACAACCGGGATCCTCCTGCCTCAGCTTCCAAGACAGCTGGGATTACAGGTGTGCACCTCCACACCTGGCTCTGCCTGCCCCCATTTGTAGATCCTGATTTGCTGATGGCTCCCTGGCTCCTGAGGATCCCAAATCAAGCCCAGGCATGGGAGAGACTCAGTCATGTAGTCCAGTCTGTAGCCTCACAATTCTCCAGAAACCCAAGGAAACATCTTGCTGACACCTTCTCTTTGCCTGACAGCACGTGAAGGACATCATCTTGCAGTCCAATCCACTGCTGGAGGCCTTCGGGAATGCCAAGACCGTCCGCAACAACAACTCCAGCCGATTTGTAAGTCTATTTCCTAGAAAGTCGCCTGATCAGCAGTGTTGGCTTTTTAGGTGTCAGTCCTGCCCCCCAGAGGAAATGGAGGCCACTTTTCCGTCTGTGTTTTCCAAAGCAGCATGCTCTCAGTCTTGGATTTGTCCTTTGATAGAGTTATTTTTGAGCCCCCAGGGATACACACAACATGATTTCAAAAATACTTCCCCCTTGAGTTGCCTTACTAAGGCAAATGAAAACTGCTGAAAGTGGCAGCTCTGGTCCTTTGGACTTGGCTGTTCCCTGGAGCAGAGACAGAAAGGAGCCAGAGAGGTGCGCATCCTACAGGTGAGCGCCACTAACAATGGCTGCTTGGAGTCTGGACATTGGTGGGTACCACAGGCAGCAGATGCTCAGACAGATGGGACCCTGATAGATGGGACCGTGGGGCAGAGCTCTCCCCTGTCCCGCTGCCTGCCCTGTCCCGCGCACTCACTGCATGATGACCCCACGCAGATGACAGGGCCGGGACACAGGAGGGGGGCTCCTAGTTGCTGCCCCACCCAAGGTGACAGTGCTGGACAGTGTGCAGGGCTCTGAGTGCCTCTTTCCCCAGTGTTCTGTCTGGGTGTCTCCTGTTGGGCTAGCTTGGAAAACAGGCAGGGATGAATATAAAAATAATCCCTTGACAGAAAGCCACACATCCCAAGAAACAAACACTCACCCAGTAGCCTTGACTTTTATAGATTTCAAATCTTACTTCTACCACCGATGATGTCTGGCAACCACGACACACAAGAAGCCATCTGTGAGGCTGATCCGGGCCCTTTTTTTAAATAAATAGTGGGAATTTCAGAGAGAGAGATTATCTTTCACTCTGTATTTTGGAAGGAAGTTTCTGTTCCAAGAGAAGCCTGACTGCTCTCGAGTGGCGATGGTCCAGCCCCAGACATGTTGTGTCCTCCCATTTTCATTCCTTGTCCCCCGGGGTCATTCGCATTATTTATTCATTTGTTCATCTCAGGGTTTTTCAGTTCATTTCCTGGATTTCTTTATCTTGAAGGTTTCTGGGCAGTGAAATAAGAACGAAAATGCGGTATCATTTTCCACTTGACCTTTTTCATTAATTGTCATTGTAAATTTACCTTCTAAAAATAGACTCGAGGGCTGGGGATTTAGCTCAGGGGTTCCGCCTGCCTCACAAGCGCAAGGGCCTGAGTTTGATCCCCGGTACCAATAAATAAATAAATAAAATTAAAATAAGTAAAAATGGACAATCAAATTTAACCTCTCTCTGCTCTCCACCTTCCTAGAAAAACAGAAAGTTTACCAAATAAATTGATCTTTATCCTTTGAGGATACTTCAGTCAATATTTCAATAAATAACAAAAATCCCAGCATTTATTATTTATCTGGTTACAACAGTACAGATTTCATATAACAGTACAGATTGGCAGTTCATACATATTCATTCGTATTTTCTCTCTTTCTCTGCCATACTTGATGGCATCAAATATACTCACTAATAATGAGAAAAATGTACATTAAAAAAATACAATTTTCAGGCTCTCAGATGGGCAAACATGAAGGAAAGTGATAATAAACAGGATGCTACTAGCTGAAGGAACATTTTCCCAGAAGAGCAATTTGACAATTTGGTGGTGGTTGAGGGGTGTTCTGCAACTCAAACCCAGGGCCTCACATGTGCTAAACACGAGCTCTACCACTGGGCTACATGCTCGGCCCCAGGTATTTTTATTAAAATTTAAAGAGGTCATTATCTTTGACTCAATAATATTTTAAGGACAAATTCTCCAAATTCTTTGTCGAATAAAGAGTTATTTAAAAAGCTATCTGTAATGTATTATTAATTTTTAAAAAACAAGACATAGTACAATATAGTCCCACTTTTATTTCAAAATGTGTACAATTACATAAGATGTAGTTAAGGTGTAACGTACCAAGGCACACTATTACAGTGATGATTTGTTATGAGAATATAGAAGGAGCCTCAAGGTGAGGCTAGGAGTAATTTCACCTAAAAAAAAAAAAAAAAAGAATGTGTATTTTTAATTATAAAACTTTATATATAATTTTAAAACTTATAACCCTTTCCACTTTTTCAAGAAGCTATGAAATATTTCAAGCCGTATTTAACAATAATGCAGTGAATACCTGTTTTCCTAATGCTCTGATATAAAACATCCCAAGTGTTAAAGCTTCTTTCCATTTAATTATCAAATTGCAACATTGTATCCTTTTTGTAAATTGTCCTGTCTTTCCCTCCATGCTGCTTGACAGCAATCCTAAATTTCTGGACCTCTTGCTCGAGTTTTATCTTGGATGTGACAATTCGGAAGTGGGCATAAACTCTGCATTATGTTTGAACAGCGATTCTCAACCTGGCTGTGTGTAAGAATTGCCCAGGCACTTTTCAAAGCCCTGCGGGTCTGAGCAAGGGTCCCTTGAGGTTCTTTCGGACTGGTTTGTTCCAGGTGGGCACCAGCTGTCACTGTCCCTCACAGGCAGCCAGTGCTGAGCCCCACCACAGACAGGGCTTTGGGTGCCTGCCCTTGACTCCACCTGTCGTCATTCCTGAGTTTGTGTCCCGTTTGATTTCCTTTCCTCCAGTGGGTGGGGAATGAGGCACTGAACTGTTCTTCCGTATCAGGGGAAGATGGCAGCCGGTGGCCCCGTGAGGTGCCACCTTGACCTGTTCATCAAGCTTCTCTCAGGACCAGTGTCCTTCAGGATCGCAGGGCCTGTGCTCCTGTTCTGGTGTTCTGGGAGTTTTTGTTGTGGGGGATAAGAGGGAAAGTCAGATTAACAGACAGACAGTAGAAGAGGCTTTCTGTAGTCAGTCTGACCCTGGGGTCCCCAAGGTACTAACAGCAGGAATACAGTGTGTACTGGTGCAAAAGCCAACAGTAAAACATGCGAAGTGCTTCTGTTGTCCTTAATAATGAGTTCCTGGTTCCCTACCTGGTCACCTCCCTGAGCCCAGCTGAATTCAGCCCTAAGCTGGTGGACTGAGTCGTGTATTCAAGTTTTATGCTATGCAGCGTGACTGTCTTGAGCTGGCTGGACTCCCAGTTTGAAGGCTTAGGCCTCACAACTCCCTAACAAGTTTTCCTCATTTAAATTCACCCTCCTGGGCCCTGAAGGTGCTTAAATTTCTGAGCACTAGAAAGAACCGAGTCCTAATGAGGAAATAAAATGATATTAGTGTAACAATCTGGATGCCTTTCCTAGTCCCTTGCAGATTTTTGTTCCCTATTAGCAGTCATCTGCAGAGCAGCATTAATGACGACAGTAACAAGTCCCCCGGCCCATGAGTAGCTGGACAGGACTGTACTCACTACAGAGCATTTTTATTTCAGACAAGAATTTTAGATGTCCAGGGGTAGAAGAAACTGGCCATTTTTGCTCAAGCCCTTGAAATAAAGTCAGCCAGAGGGAAAATCTGCATTCTCTGCAAGGGCCCACCTGGATTCTGTGACTGGATTAAGGCAGCCATGTGATCTCTGCCCTGTGCCCCTTCCAGTTCAGCAGGCAAGTGCCTCCTGGAAGAAATGGCAAGAAACAGCAAGTCCTTATTTAGTGTGGCAGGAAGGACTGAGTGTCTCTCTCAATATGGAATCATGTGATTGTACAAAAGCTCGGGTTATTGTTTGATATGAAAAAATGAGGAAGTCTAGACCAGAATTAGGAATACTTCAGAATGTGTCTTTCACTGATGAATTTCCTTGAATTATATACTGTATTCAAAGGTAGTTGGGAGCATTGTGTTTTTGTTTACCAACCACTAATGGAAATTCCTAACTTTCTTGCAGGGAAAATACTTTGAAATCCAGTTCAGTCCAGGTGGGGAACCAGATGGAGGAAAGATCTCCAATTTCCTTCTGGAAAAGTCTAGGGTGGTGATGAGGAACCCTGGAGAGCGGAGTTTTCACATATTTTACCAGGTTTTCCTTTTTATTTTCCTTTATATTCTTTCCCACTTCACATTACTTCTCCATATTTTAGAAAAAAGTGCTATTTTAGACAGTGTGGTCTGCTAAGCCAAGAGGCCTTGCCACTGTGTAAGTCACTGTGAGACAATGTGAGGCTGTTCCTGGACTGGGACTGAAATGAATTCTTATTGGAGTGACAAATGCCCCAAGAGTTAAATAATCAGGACATTACTTCAGAGCAAAAGGAGCATTTGAGTCTTTGCCAAATAGGAGTCTACGTAGGGAGATCTGGCTTGGGTGGTCAGTGGAGGAAGAGAAGATCCTAAGGAGAATGCACTCTGGGCAGAGAATGGGGGGACGTCAGTCTGGGGTCCAGGCCGCAGAGGAGCGATTTAAGGGAGGACTGAAGCTGCTTAGGGCAGTGATGGCGAACCTTTGAGAGCTTTCAGTGACACAGGGCTTGGCACGCGTGCCATAGGTTCACCACCACTGGCTCAGGGCCTTTAATGCCAGCTCAGCAAGTGTCCACTCTGAAGCCAGGGAGAGTTCGGGCCTTGAGCAGCGTGCAGGATGCCTTAGAAGTACGTTCCGGTCTTTAGCAACCATCCCATTCAACTGTCTAGAAATACATTTTTAAGTATGCAAAAAATGCCATGTTCAAAATTTTAGTGTCTGGGTTTCTTTATTGATATTTTCATATCAGGGATCCACGTTAGGATTTCCTTGAAGACTGCCCTGGCGACTGATTCTGTTTGGTTTGGTTTCCAGTTTGGAAATTACTGGATTGAAAGAAAGTTAAAGTGTGGAAGTAGCTCACAACCAATCTTTTCAGTTATGCAGACATCTCTGATGATACCAAGCAATTCTTTTAGTTGGTATCTGTTGGTTGAAAAATACATACATGACCAAAAGCTTCTGTGAATTCAGCAGTGCTTATTATTTTAATCAGAGCAAATACATGAATGAATGAAAAAAAATTATAGGGCCAGGGATTTAGCTCAGTGGTTCTGCTGCCTCCCTTGCAAGCACAAGGACCTGAGTTCAATCCCTGGTACCAAAAAAAGAAAAAACTGTGTGTAGCACACACGTGTTGAACACCAGACAGTGGATGGGAGGACCCTATGTAGTAGATATGAGCCCCACCTCCAATGTGAGTCCTCAGCCTGTTGGTCAGAAACCACCAGTTCAAGACTCGGGGACTGGACCCAACGTGCCAGGCTCATGGGGGGAAGGGCTGGCCAGGCATCTGGGGTCTGGGGGCAAAGAACAAGCTGCTGGATTTAGGCACTGGGGTGTAGGGAGAGGAGAAGGTGAATGTAGGTGGTTAAATCATGATTAGGAAGTGAGTGCTCGCTTCAGCAGCACATATGCTAAAACGATTAGAAAGTAAAGGGCAGCTTGAATTCATTCAAAGATCAGCTTTTAATGAGGGCAAAGGGCAGCATGACTGTAGGTAAAAGAGTTGGAGAAAAGGACATCGGAGGGTGGGAATGAGAGGGACCACGTGGGGCAGGAAATTCTTCGGACCAAAAAAAAAAAAAAAAAAGAGTAGTATAGAATTATTTTCTGTAGAAAGCGAAGAAGGTGAGGAAGCCTGCCGTCAGAGGGTGACCTAGAACTTCTCGGTAACGCTGATGGGGCACCTGTCTGTGGGAGGAGGCTTGCCTAGGAACGGGCCCTGCTGCTAAGTATTGTTGGGTCAGCACCGTGGTACAGGGAATGGGAAAGGGGACGTTACCAGAACCTCTGCAGTGGGTCCCGGTCTCCTGGGAGCCACAACAGCACAAGGCTAATTAAAGACAGGAAATGAGACTTAAACAGAGAAGCTGGCCTTGGGACTGATCAGTGCTGCTCTGGGCAGCAAAAACAAAGGCCCCCCAGGCATAGCCAGTATTTATCGAATACAAGTGTGGGAAGGAATAGGGAGCTGCATATGCTTTGAAGGCGTCTAATGAAATATGGCCGAACACCTGACGTGGTGGTGCAGGCAGGGCTGTAAGGGAGGAAGCGCTGCTTATCTCGCTTGGGTGGAACAAACAGGTGCTGGGACCGGACGCCATTATCAGGCAACTATCCGGTCAGTGAGAAGCCGTAATTCAGGGGCAAGGATCTTAATTGGGGTCACTCTGACCTAGGCTGCACATAACTCAGCCGAGCCCTGGCACGTCACAGACCAGGACTTGGTCCTCAGTGACAGCCATTAGCGAAGGAGCAACGCTAGTCCAGTTCTGCTAGCTGACTGGCCCATTTGAGTCATGTAGGGCTTTGGTCTGACTCCTGATGCAGAACAATACAGCCAAATTACGGAAAACAAGTAGCATGTGGTACTCGTAGCCCACCAGTACCGGGCAGGGGTGTCTGTTACACCATGGTATGCTGGAAATGTCTTACCTGGGCTGTGTGTGTTCCTTCCAAACTGTTCCTTAACATTTCTTTTGCAATCAGACCTGGTGGGAGGATTGACACCATGGCTATTGGCTAACACTGCAGACCATTTTTTAAATTTTCCCCAAGAGTTGGCTGTTAAACCGTTTCCAGCACACCATTGATTGGAGCCCTTTAAGAGGGTCTTGTCTGAGCTTGAGGCAAGTAGCAGAATTAAAACCAACAGCCAAGGGACAGGCAGTGGGCCAGGAGGCTTCAGAATAGCAGAGAGCACGACCCATAGCAATTTGCGCATACACACCCTCTAGTCAGCGGCAAGGAGCAGCTGACTCCACTTTAAAAAGCCGAAATTCAGCTGGGCAAGAATTAAGCAGCAGTGATGTTTTTCTTTTCAAAGGGATCACAAGTTCAGCAGTTCACTTTCTATCACTGGACAGGTTTTGTAGGTCTTATCAGAATTAGAACTTGCAGGGCTGGGGATTTAGCTCAGTGGTTCCACCACCTGTCTCGCAAGCACAAGGTCATGATCTCCCTGGTACCCTAAAAAAAGAAAGAAAGAAAAAGAACTTGCAGAGATGACTTGGGGCTCCCAGAAGTAGAGTGGATATTCACAAGCCGCTTCCTTTATTTGGAGGTCAGAGCCACCCATGATTTTAGAAAACAGGCATTAGACATCCTGCACACCCAGGCCCAGGCATGGTGGTGGCAGGAACTGCGGGGCGACCGTGGGTGCTCTGGGTCATGGCCCACACCACCTTCTCTTACTGCAGCTGATCGAAGGCGCCTCAGCCGAGCAGAAGCACAGCCTCGGGATCACCAGCATGGACTATTACTACTACCTGAGCCTCTCCGGATCCTATAAGGTCGACGATATCGACGACAAGCGGGAGTTCCAGGAAACCCTGGTGAGGGCCAGGCAGGGATCACTAAGTTGCTCAGGCTGGACTCGAATTTGAGATCGTCCTGCCTCAGCCTCCTAAGTAACTGAGATTGTGACATGTGCCACCGTGTCCAGCTTCATCAACTATAGAAATTTTTAAACACTTAAGCCTTTTTCCACCCCCCACATCTCTTTGCTTTGCTTTTTTTTTTTAACCTGGACACTTCCAGGTTAGAGGACAATGATCTTAATTTATGCCATTCTCGTTTTATGTATGTCACCATACAAATTGTGCAACTAGTCGGATAACTGAACATTAGCATCCTGGAAAAAACCACTCAAATGAGTCAGCGTAGGTCTGGAGGAGGTTGGCTGCCCGAGACCTGGGTCCCCACACTACCTCCTTACAGGCATGAGGAGAGCCTAAATATGCTTAAGGGGCCTCTGTCCTGCATCAGGGTACAAATATCCAAGACTCGGACAGCTCAGCTGCTTTTATCGAATTTAATAGTCCTCAGAAACTCAGCTTTCTGAAGGCGCAGTACGGACACACACACACACACACACACACACACACACACACACACACACACACACACACACACACACACACACACACACACACCAACACA